TGTTAGAATGAACGTCTATGTTAATGTGTTGACTGTTAATATGAACGTCTCTGTTAATGTGTTGACTGTTAATATGAACGTCTCTGTTAATGTGTTGACTGTTAATATGAACATCTCTGTTAATGTGTTGACTGTTAATATGAACGTCTCTGTTAATGTGTTGACTGTTAATATGAACGTCTCTGTTAATGTATTGACTGTTAATATGAACGTCTCTGCTAATGTGTTGACTGTTTATATGTACTTCTCTGTTAATGTGTTGACAGTTGATATGAACGTCTCTGTTAATGTGTTGACTGTTAATATGAACATATCTGTGAATGTGTTGACTGTTAATATGAACATCTCTGTTAATGTGTTGAATGTTAGAATGAACGTCTATGTTAATGTGTTGACTGTTAATATGAACGTCTCTGTTAATGTGTTGACTTTTAATATGAACGTCTCTGTTAATGTGTTGACTGTTAGAATATACGTCTATGTTAATGTGTTGACTGTTAATATGAACGTCTCTGTTAATGTGTTGACTGTTAATATGAACGTCTCTGTTAATGTGTTGACTGTTAATATGAACATATCTGTGAATGTGTTGACTGTTAATACGAACGTCTCTGTTAATGTGTTGACTGTTAGAATAAACGTCTATGCTAATGTGTTGACTGTTAATATGAACGTCTCTGTTAATGTGTTGACTGTTAATATGAACGTCTCTGTTAATGTGTTGAATGTTAGAATGAACGTCTATGTTAATGTGTTGACTGTTAATATGAACGTCTCTGTTAATGTGTTGAATGTTAGAATGAACGTCTATGTTAATGTGTTGACTGTTAATATGAACGTCTCTGTTAATGTGTTGACTGTTAATATGAACGTCTCTGTTAATGTGTTGACTGTTAATATGAACGTCTCTGTTAATGTGTTGAATGTTAGAATGAACGTCTATGTTAATGTGTTGACTGTTAATATGAACGTCTCTGTTAATGTGTTGACTGTTAATATGAACGTCTCTGTTAATGTGTTGACTGTTAATATGAACGTCTCTGTTAATGTATTGACTGTTAATATGAACATCTCTGTTAATGTGTGGACTGTTAATATGAACGTCTCTGTTTATGTGTTGACTGTAAATATGAACGTCTATGTTAATGTGTTGACTGTTAATATGAACGTCTCTGTTAATGTGTTGACTGTTAATATGAACATCTCTGTTAAAGTGTTGAATGTTAATATGAACATCTCTGCTAATGTGTTGGCTGTTAATATGAACATCTCTGTTAATATGTTGACTGTAAATATGTACTTCTCTGTGAATGTGTTGAATGTTAATATGAACATCTCTGCTAATGTGTTGGCTGTTAATATGAACGTCTCTGTTAATGTGTTGACTGTTAATATGTACTTCTCTGTGAATGTGTTGACTGCTAATACAAACATCTCTGTTAATGTGTTGGCTGTTAATATTAACGTCTCTGTTAATGAGTTGACTGTTAAAATGAACATCTCTGCTAATGTGTTGACTGTTGATAAAAACATGCCTGTTAATGTGTTAAACTGCTATTATGAATATCTCTGTGATGTATTGAGTGATAATATAAACATATGTGATTTGTTAAGTGATAATATGAGCATTCCGTGATGTTTTTGCAGTTGAAATTAACATCCCTTTTAATGTGTTGACGGTTAATATGAAATCTGTCAATGTGTAAAATGATTATATGAATAGTGTTGACTGTTAAGTTGAACATCTTTGTTTATATGGTGACGGTTATTATCAACATCTACATTGATAAGGTGACTGTTTATATGTAGGTCTCTGTTAATGTGTTGGCTGTTTACTATATGATGCTGGTTTTTACGAACATCGCTTTATTTCACAATACACATACGAGATCACTGAACATCACTCTACATAGTCGTACACATCAGCTTTTGAATGTCGGGATATTCTATTAAAACATTTATCCGACAACTCAAAGACACAAAAGTTTGATTTTAATCTTTTTAATTGTGAGTAGACGTGCACTCAAAGACCTGTCTATCTTGGCACAAAGAGAAGTATACGTTGTACATGCGGTAGGATTCTCAAATTTCATTTGAGAGTGAAAGTTTTATCAAGGTTTACTTTGAGTGTTTTCAGAAGTACAGAAAAAAAGAGAGAAATTTTGGCATGAATGCTCTCATAAATAAATCTGAGATCGTACATAAAGATATTTAGATCGACCAACAAGTTGGAATTCAAGACCAAGCTCGACACGTAATATGGCGGTACGAGCCGGCCTAGCTTCTATATTGCGATAAACATAAATGCATCAGGTTGTTTTGCTACGCTGTCCTGACATAAAGATTAGACGTAGGAAAATGTACACCTTTTCCCTGGAATTCAATTTCAGTGGTAATTTATTTTGACCACAGTGTACACCAAATGAGAGAACTATTTATAGACAAGTTTGACCTACAAAGTATACGTAATTTTAAATATCTTTGGTCGACAATTTCACACAAACCTGCATTGTCATTTACATTAATTCTTTTCCCAGAGTATGAAGACGGCAAAATTTAGAACTGTTTGATTAAACAAGCTTTGGCTCTTTGTCCCAACTTTCATGGTTTGACACGAAGTACAGTAAAAATATTTTACCAGATAGCACTGGATTGATAATCAGAACAAAACATACCAACAAGAAACAAGGACATTATAAACTGGACCTTTAAGGCATCAGAACAAAACACACCAACAGGAAACAAGGACATCGTAAACTAGACATTTAAGGCATCAGAACAAAACACACCAACAGGAAACAAGGACATTATAAACTGGACCTTTAAGGCATCAGAACAAAACACACCAACAGGAAACACGGACATCGTAAACTAGACATTTAAGGCATCAGAACAAAACACACCAACAGGAAACAAGGACATTATAAACTGGACCTTTAAGGCATCAGAACAAAACACACCAACAGGAAACACGGACATCAAACTAGACATTTAAGGCATCAGAACAAAACACACTAACAAGAAACAAGGACATCAGAACTGGACATCAGAACAAAACATACCAACAAGAAACAAAGACATTAAAACACACCAACAGGAAACAAGGACATTATAAACTGGACCTTTAAGGCACCAACAGGAAACAAGGACATCTCCTTGAAAATATCTTGTTTCAACTAGAAAATTTTATACAAGCCGTTTTTGAGGAGATATCAGCTGAGGAAAATCTCAACTTGAGGAAATTTCAAGTTGAGATGTTTTATGCAAGTGGGGCCATAACACACAAACAAGAAACAAGGACATCGTAAACTGCACCTTTAAGGCATCAGAACAAAACACACCAACAAGAAACAAGGACATCGTAAACTAGACCTTTAAGGCATCAGAACAAAACATACCAACAAGAAACAAAGACATTATAAACTGGACCTTTAAGGCATCAGAACAAAACACACCAACAGGAAACAAGGACATCGTAAACTAGACATTTAAGGCATCAGAACAAAACACACCAACAGGAAACAAGGACATTATAAACTGGACCTTTAAGGCATCAGAACAAAACACACCAACAGGAAACACGGACATCGTAAACTAGACATTTAAGGCATCAGAACAAAACACACCAACAGGAAACAAGGACATTATAAACTGGACCTTTAAGGCACCAGAACAAAACACACTAACAAGAAACAAGGACATCGTAAACTGGACCTTTAAGGCATCAGAACAAAACATACCAACAAGAGACAAGGACATCGTAAACTGGACCATTAAGGCATCAGGGCCCACTTGTATAAAATATCTCAATTTCAGATTTCCTCAAGCCCAGATTTTCCTGAACTAATATCTCCTTGAAAATATCTTGTATGAAAATTCCTCAAGGAATTTCAGGACATCCTAGCCGATGACTTCCTCCTGTTCCTTGAGAAAATTTTATACAAGCCGTTTTTGAGGAGATATCAGCTGAGGAAAATCTCAACTTGAGGAAATTTCAAGTTGAGATGTTTTATGCAAGTGGGGCCATAACACACAAACAAGAAACAAGGACATCGTAAACTGCACCTTTAAGGCATCAGAACAAAACACACCAACAAGAAACAAGGACATCGTAAACTAGACCTTTAAGGCACCAGAGCACACAAGCAAGAAACAAGGACACCGTAAACTAGACCTTTAAGGCATCAGAACACACAAACAAGAAACAAGGACATCGTAAACAAGACTCATCAAACATCAGACCAGAACACACAAACAGGAAACAGGGTATCATAAACTAGTCTACTAGGCATCAGAAAAAATACGAACAGGAAACAGCAGCATCGAAAGTCAGACATTTTAAGCCTAAAAAATAGAAAAACGCGAACAGGAAACTAAGTTATTAAACCCAAATTAAAGGAATAAAACACGTTGACAAAAAAATATGGAGTACAAGCAAGACAAGAAAATGTATCACAATCAATTAAACACGATATTACAAATAGATTATTCATACAGAAAAAGCAGGAACATCTGCACTGTCGAGTCCGAGAGGTGGGTCCACAGGGACAGAAATTCACGACCAATGGTCTATATACCTGTATCATAGTCAAGTCCTTGTGGTGCGGCGGTATAGAAGACAGACAAATTATATATCAACTAAAAATCCCAGTAACAATTCAAAAAGAAATATACTGACGACCAAAAATATCTAGTAACAATAAGGAAATATAAAACCTGATGAAAAGTCTACTACAGACACATACATCTTTAAACATTATAATTTACCACCGGGAACAAAACCTTCCAATAAAACCGGAGAAATAAAAGTATAAGGGGTATTCTTGTAGAAAAATTGAGCCATACAATCTGTGTTGGTGAGTTTTCCTTCACTGCATAACATTTTTGAAAAATAAAAAGGTGTATATGCTAAACTTAGTGTTTATCGAGAACAGGATACATAGTTAGCGATGAATATTTAACAATGACAATCATGGAAATATAAAAAAAAATGTACTTACATGTTGTTTGAGCTGATCCTAACGACATGGTTTGTGTAGATCGTTTAACTGATACCTTGACGTCAGGGTGTGCGCGCGTGAGTGGACAGACTCTTGTGCAAACACAACACTTAATTCCGGATTTGGGTTTTTCTTCGTCGGTTACTCATCGGTTGTAGTGGGCAGGAATTCTCCGAAATATAATTTTGTTCCTCAGTATTAGTGTATAAATGAGCACATGTAAAACCCAAACATTACACATCAAGATAGTACTGATTTGACCTGCAGATTCAGAATCATACACAAACGATTAATTTTTTAAGCATCTGTTTACGTCATATTGTGCGAAATGACACTACACCAGTAAAATAGTTTCTTAACAGAAGTTATCCCATAACTGCAGCAGCGGCAGATACAGGGCAGTATTCGATACCGCTATCTTATTAGTTATACCCTGCAGCACATCAAGTTTCCTTGACAACCGGAAAACAGAGGAAGTTGGTCTAGCCGGTCATTGTGGTTTTCCCTTCGTCACAAGATATTATAATGGGTCATACATGGGTTTTAAGGACGAAATAAAAAGATAGGAATGATAAAGGAGATGGTGGAGAGATCTATATTTTAAAAATATGCAACAGTGTTAGACGTAAATTTATGACTTGTCCATAACTTGCAACATGATCAGTTTAAACATGTAGTCATGGAAGTCAGATGTCAAGGTTAAAAGGTGAAGGTCAAATGTTGTGAGGGAAGCAGACCCTCTAAAAACATATGTGTATTGTTCGTCTCAGGAAACCAGAAAACTGCTGCTACAAAACCGGTTCCTGCCTTTAACTTACAACATATTGTTTCTGTTCAGATAAACAATTTGTGTTTAGTGTATGTGTGTGTGTGTGTGTTTGTGTACCTGCGTGTAAGTGCAACTAACATGTGTAGAACTATACGTTACAGGAAGGATATGTCTCCTTATCATTGTTTCCAATATGGAGCAAGCTTCCGAAACGCCGTTTACGTGTATTGACATAAGATGTAAACAATATGTGATCTAATGCCAACTACAGCGTGCAATATACCAGTAACTATTTACGATTCTATGTCGCTGTATCGGTTTATTAACTCGAATATCGTACAGGTGCCAGATACAGTGGGAGGGACGGGAAGACTGTTATTATCAACAGCTGTTTCATGTAGGAGGGGGCAGCTTTTGGAGGAAACACATCCTGCAGTTTACTTCCTTACGTCAGTCTAACAATGCACGTGAGCAGTATGAAGCGTGATAAATATCACTAATTCCTAATTGTTTGTTGATAACAAGACTTTAGATGGTAATACACATATTTAAAACGAAAATGTATTAATTTTTTTTCTACAGCTGCCCACCAGTCAACCATTCAATGTAATATGTCGCCAATCTGTCAACATTTCCTGATTTTTAAAGGTGTTTAACACTGAGGAAAACAATTTTTCGAAAGAAATGAAAAAAGAACAAATTTAAATACTGTACTCCACTGACTTCCGAAAATGTTCGATTATATAGCTAATTAGGGAAATCGTATCCGATCGAACTTGTCACACTGACTGAATAAGATGCAAATTAGGCGATTATATTTTTAGCATTCGAATCCCCTAATGCCTATTTATATGGGAAACTTGAAATTCCATCGATAATGTATTATGTGACCTTTAATAGTCGATAAATCTATTTACTTTTAACAATAGTCGGATGGTCGTTAGCGCAGTAGTAATGCACTTGCATTTCACCTGGACGTCCTGGAGAACATGAACATCCTCCCACAGTAACACCCCACGTGCGCTTATATAAACTTGTTTCACAAAACCAAAGTGCTTAGGACACATATGTTCTATATATTTTTCTCTCGTCTTTCCTTATAGAAATTCGTTTCTAGTTTCAGTAGATAAATTTTACATATACGTGTACCTAATATCTTAACGATTTAAGATAATTTCGGGGTGGGGAAAATATAACAGATAAACGATGGTTTTAAATTGTAAATCAATTATATTTGATGTACATGAAAAGAAAATAACAGACTAGGTTGTTCATGCAATTGCAGACATATGAGGGCCCTGGTGTATGTGGAACGAACCGAGTTACACAACTTGTTGTGTCGGGTTCTGTAGATCACGTGTCAATAGTCACTGTTAAACATACCACGTGTCGGCTACCATTCAGAAATAAATGAGACTTCCTTTACCATGCCGTAACCCCAGTACACACTTCGTTATTAATGTATAATAAGTTCTTGTCCTACCCAATTCTGGCATGGATCCTCACACAACGCTAGGGTGTTTCTGTTGTACAGATGTACAATTTGGCATGATAAACCGACAAGTCTCGCTGACACTGTAACATATCTACAAACGGTGTACAATATTAATTTGTGTTCTTTCTTCTTATTTTCATATTCTTATATTAATCAACTAGGGCTAGACAATGTGGAATGCACAGGAATGTTTGAGTGTCAACATGCCACCGCGACAACTGAATAGTAAGTGCGTTGTTCGTGAGCTCGTTAGTGCGCGAGTGTACAACAGGATGTTTTGTAACTTAAGACAGGACACGCCGAAGGTTTCAGAAGTGACCCTCAACTACTCCACTCTACACTCTAAGCACTCCTACTTATACGTGGCTCGCTTCAACTATTGGTGGAATGTCTTTTAATATCATGTACCAATCTGTTCGGAACATTAATCTCATTACCCACGTGCCCTGGTTACCATTTTGCTACTAAATCGTGGTTTTCTGTCAGAGAAACGCTTATCTCCAATGAAGAAACCACGGAGACTGTTTTCTTTATCGTCAATGACAAACAAATTGGATTTAACAGTAAACACTAATTAATATATGTAGAAGACTTTCCCTTGGTATTACTGCCTCATAAATTTGTACAGTGGAAATTTGATATAAATTATAGAATTCCATTGTTAACTTTTTCTTAAGTCTGAAGATTGGTACAGCTTTATTAGGTTACTGATTGAGACCTGAAAGTTGTCATGATTATGAGGAATTCAGAAAACAGAAACAAACCAATAATTCGAGGTTCTCCAAGTATTGTGATTTCATATTAAGGGAGCTAGACTCTCAGTGCGTATTCATTTCTTATACGAATTTACATTTAAACATTTAAAACATGTACAATGTAATACAGAAATACATCTTCACCAAGGCGAATGTTTATCTGGTATTCAATGCTATTCACATTTCAAATAATTGACATTCAAAGTCTTTACTAATGAGATGGAGTCATTTAAAGATTTTTTTTTATTATTTGACCTCTGTGACCTTGAATGGAATTTAATTTCTTTTCTGAAACTTTATTGAGCTTCGTTTCAGGAACCTATCAGCCATATATCATGATTCTGTGTATTCGGTTTTAAAATGTTTGGAAGGTTTGGCAAATTTGACTCTTGTGACCTCGAAATTAAGTCAAGGTCATTCTTCCCACAAAAATTATCTGACTTCATCCAAAAACCTACCATTTCAATAACATGATTCTAGACACTTAAGTTAATTGTAAGTCATTCGAAGCTTTGAACAGATTTAACTCCCCTGACCTTAAAATATATCAATTGCTATTTGTTTCAATTGCAAACTTTGTTCGCCTCCGTCACAGGAACCTACCTCCTAACTGTCACGAATCTTTGTCTTGATTAATCAGAAGTCGTCTGAAGCTTTAAACAAATTAGACCTATCATAACATGCGTATAATCGAGATTGTCCCTTTTCACACACTTTGTTCGCTTTCATTATAGGAACGTGTGACGACCAAATATCGTGATTCTGGACACTGCGGCTAATCAGAAGTTGTTTGAAGATTTCAACTGTAATTCGATCCTCGCTGCCTGAAATATGGGTAAAGATAATTTTATTTCTCCACTTTTGTTGGGTATCAGTAGAGGACCCTTCCAGCCAAACTACATAATTCTAAGGATTCTGATTAGTGAAAAGAATTTGCTTATAAGAAAAATTAACTGTGGTTCAGCTTAGCTAAAATTCGTCATGTGTTGCCGCTCACTATCTGGAGGTTTGTTTTTCACTGTAAACGAGATTAAATGACTCTGTATTACATATTCATCCCAGAAACCTACCAGTCTAATATAGCAATTGTAGGCTGTTTGGTTAAGTAGATGTCGTCTGAAGGTATTTTTTATATCTTGTTAAGAAAAAACAAAAGGATAAGTTCGGAGTATAGTGTAACAAAATAGGGTTTAGCGTAACACATCTGGATTTTCATATGGGATTGGTTGAAATAAGATAGCTTAAACAATAGTTCGTTTAATGTTCAATAGTATATCAATAAAACACATATAGGTAGTTCACAGGGGTGTGGATAATTACTTGCATATATACACTTAGGTTGGTGTAGTCTGGGCCACGAGAATCTGATCAGTGGGTGTACAGCTTCGGCCAGTTAATTAAGTAGAGACTATCCCCACTTCCTTGATAATTAAACTTATGTAATTTACCGTTCAGACAGTGGCCACCTAGTGGTGGAGAAATTATTAGGGTATATTTCAAGAAACAAATTAGCAGGAGGAATCTCAACCTTGCACCTCGAGTACAGGTGGCTATACTTCAGCAATCGTATCAACTAGTAACAAGTGAAGTCCGTGTAAGGGGATAGCGGGACAGAATCGGTCAAGAGGAGATAAATAGAAGCTAGATTCTGGGGATAGGGAGAGAAGGGGTTTGGACACCCGACTGCACGGTCAGAGACAGCCTTGGGGGAGCCCACCAGATGGACAGTTCTGATAAGAGACACAATGTGAAGTACAAGTATATGAACTCTGTATGTTGATAAGATGTTGCTTTTGTACATGTAACATCATTATTATTCAACATGTAATAAACGTGGCTATTACAAACAAGTATGTGTGTTTACGCCTACTGTGTTACAATAGATATATTAAAGCTAGTTCTTAGAAAAAGGACGTATACTGTGCCCCAATATTATTCATCCCTGCTAGAAATGTTACCATTTCCTTTGTTCTTATAAACAGCAAAATTTGCTGATAAACAGTAGTGTTAAGAACAACCAATATGAATCTACTGAATCTCACTGAACAGTTATATGAAGCAGCAGTGCAGATATTAGCCAAAAGGACCACTGCTGTGATAATCACAGTGTACAGAGTAAGGGGCTCTGAATATGTAGGTTGATAGTTTACAACAGAACAGAGACGATTTACAGTCATTATAATAAAACAAAAATGAAGAAATCAATTCATGTTTAGAAAATCTTTATTTAATTCAAATAACATGGGTATGACTTGCAAAAGCAAATGACTGCCTTCAGTCACCAATGTACGCTGGCGTATTTGTTAAATGTCTAGTACATTACATGATATTGATAAATTGTAAAGTGTCACAATAGTGATTCAACCATACATTGTGTAAAGAGTGCTTCAATTTTGAAATAATAAACAACTGTTCCATGTGGCACTGTACTCTTCATACTTGAATGACGGATTAGTTCACAAACCAACACAATGAGATGATTTGCAAGTGGCTCAAGGTTGTTAGTCAGGTGCAGGTGAAGTGGAAGGGAGGTAACTCCTACAAACCATTACTCAGAAGTTGAAGTGGTCAAGCAAATGTTTTGCCATCGATTCCAACATCTATCCTTTCCAGGCTATTAAAATTCACATAAAATCTACAAAAGAAAAGAGAAAATGCTGTTTAACATATATCATATTTCACTTTTACTATTCACTGTATAAACTGGGGAAAATACACGTTCCTGCCAAGTGCTCTACAGAAAGAGAACCGCGGACTCGGACGCGATAACCTTGATTGCTCTACCTCCTAAGCCAAACAAGTATGCTCCATCAGCTGAGTGACAAACACTACATTTACCATATACAATATTTACCAATCATACTGAAGTTCCCTTTTTACCCAATGCATTATTAAATTCTGTGCACATCTTTCAGATCTTGAATATTGCCATAATACAACCTTTCACTTGTATCCTCATTCACTTTCACTGGCTTTTTCTCTAACAGTGACACCCAGGAAACATTCTTATTGTGAATGACACTCATGTAAAAGGGATATTTGGGGACATTTTGTATCATTTTCAACATAATCCCCTTCAGTATCTATCTATCTTAAAGAATTTCTTTTCTTGACCGTTCAGAAAGTCTTCAACTGCAGGTATGACATCATCGTCTGACTGAAAGAGATCAGGCAAATAAGGTGGATGTACAATAAATTCAAAGCCACAATTGTAAATGGTAGTCATGGCAATGACAGACTTATGAACTGAGGCACTGCCCTGGTGGAACAACACATCTTTACAGTGTTTTCCGCAGTGCTTCGAGTTTAATATTTTCTCTTACATGTGTCATTGGTTGTTTGTCCCTTTTGTAGATAATCTATAATCTACCATCAGAATACCATCAGCATCCCAGAAAACCGAGATCAGGTACCTGCACTGGTTAGACTGTTGTTTGGTAGGATTTGCCTCTAAATGGTTTGGATGAGCATGCAACAAAGTCCACCTGGTGTGCTTCTGATCAACTGGTTAGTATCATAAGTCTTGGTACCCAACAGGCTGAGAGCTTGTAAGAATTGAATGTACTCTTTCCAATGAAATCCCAACTGTACTGGATATATATCTCTCTGTAACTCACCTGTCAGCCATGATAATATCATGGACTTTATTGACCATTTCTGAGGCTGCAACAGTGGCAGGCCTTCCAAGACAGGCCTTATCCCTTAAGCTCTGCCTGCCACGCTTTAATTCCACCACCCACCTTTTCACTGTAGCATATGAAGGGGCATCATTCCCTAGTGTTGCTATCTTATCAATATGGATATCCTTAGGCGCTAAACCTATCTTATGCAAATATTGAATCACTGCTCTTTGTGCAATTTTGTCCATTTTGCAAGTCACTTGCTATGTTTACTTTAGAGTGCTCTTTGACATAAACCAACCAAATGACACACAAATGATGTTTACCATCAATCAACTAATCTTGTTTTGCTCCCAATTCAACCAAAGCATGAATAATTTCATGGAAAAAAAATCATGAAAATAATCATGTTTCTCAACAGTAGGACAATAAATGTATAGTACACTTCATAACTGTTGGTCAAGGGGATATTTTTTTAATAGCTATATTCACTAATAGTACCTGTCTCTTGGAATCGTCAATTTATCAGCAATAAAGTCTCCAATGGCCTTTGTATGTTCATTATTTTTGTCTGTACCGAGGTTGATGCTGTACAGTTCTACACTACCACAGGGATCTGTTGAACCTCCATGAGACATAAGCTGGTTGGGGTGAACACGTACAGTCACAAACTGCAATGTAATACATAAATATGAAACTTAATATTGCTTTCTCCCATGAATTATCTAATAGGATAAAGAACACAAAAACAAGAATTTAATTTCACAGAGGTGGTGCATAATTTATTTAATTGACATACTCAAAAGTACAAACTTCAAACCTCAGAAATGTATAACTTATTACCGTAAATTTGCAGGTATAGTGCGCACTCGGGTATACTGCGCAGGTATTTTTTTGGGGTCAGATTAAAAAAAATTTTTTTTAATTCTACAGTTACCTAATTATTCCATTCAAATTTCAAATGACGCCTTAAATTAATTCCATAAATCACATTGAATTTTCCCAAAAATTAGATTTGCTGTGTACAGCACACTTCCTGTCAATAAAATATTACATGATGCTTTTATGCAACCAGGTTGTAATGTTTCAGGCCATGAAAGTGTCATGAAACTATTCCATTGTCAATGATAAAACAATGCATTCAAAATGCCTAGTTTCAGAATTTCTTGTCAACCATAAATAATTTAACTCAATTGAGATACCATCCATTTCACTCACACTTTATAGCACAATGATCACAGAAATATGTGAATGCGGTGACCTTACTTTTATGCTGAAATTCTAAAAACTAATGATATTCAGCAAATTAGTTTCGGACAGATACAGCTGGACCCCTCAAACTGGCATTTTTCTTGCAGGTTCAACTGGTCCAACCATTTCAATTGCTTACATGAAAGCACCCTAAGACCTCTTTCACATATAGAAGTACTGTCAAACTAGACTGAAAAAAATGATAACTTAATGTAACATGGTGAATTGTACATCATTTGTATTTCCTTGTTGATATTCACTCCCTAATATTTTATCAATATAATGCTATATAGATATTGTCTATGTCACATGGCAGCCACATGATACAAATGTACAATGTAGGTTAACACTACATGTACATCAATGATATTAATTATTATTATTGTTAAAATCATATTATATTCTATGGATAGGCTCAGTATATGTAACAACACGTACATAATTCAGATAAAAGATTCAAAGTTTATTCACAGAATAAAACGTACTGCGCCGACCAATCGAATTTCAGCAATCAGTTCAAATCAATTTCTTTGTGATTGATCTGGCAGTTCGAGTTTTGACAGCAGACGTTTAGTACCTGATTCCAAACATCTGAGTTAGCAATTCGACTTCTAAGTAATATATCTGTTTATGATTTACTATGAATAATTATACCTGGAATATGAAAAGTACGTGTTAACACAACTTAATGTATTTGTGATCACTGCTGTCAATTAATATTTTACCTGTATCTACCTATATGTAATTATAAGTGTCTATTAGTATATTCACTTCATTACTATTTGATAATCATTATCATTAAATGTCTGCGATAGTGTAATGGATATGGTCGTGGTGCTGTAATTTGAGATGATTTTTAATTCTCATAGCCGAGGTTCGAATCTCGGAAGTTACTGAATTTTATTCTTGTATTTTTCATATATCGTAAGATTCTGATTAAAAAGATTGTTTGTCCATCTCAGGTGTTCATCTTAGCAAGATTTATTGTGAAGCGAAGAAGGACTTTGCTATTATGTCTTGTCTAACTTACTTAGGGTGAGTTTTGTTAACACTGTTCTGATTACTGTTGACATAGGTCATGTTGATACACACTGTTTCTCGATGTAACTTATGACAATGCATATGTAATCATATGCGAGATGTGACCATTAATGTAATTGTATGATGATGATCAAAATAATAATAATTCTCAAACTTTCATTTTAATTTGATAAAGGTGCATTATTACCTGTGTTTCTATTGAATGCTGTTTTTTATATATTGCAGACGAATGCCTTTCGTCTGTAGCTAATATTACAGAAGAATCGAACTGAAGCAGAGACTTGTTTTTTTCTGCTGTTTTTATCATGCTGTTATCAACATTACATTTTATTGATCATTCTAATAAATAATGAGCAGACAATTTTGCGAATTACAGTTTCTTATCAACACATCACCACACCAAGGTACACCCATACACCAAGCGTTAAGTTTAAGTGACTAAGAGTGTAGAAGACAGAACCCTGACAAACTTTTACTTTGATATAGGTCAAAGTTTAAAAAAAATAGATCAGAGTGACCCACATGTACTATTGATACACGACACAAAAACTCATCTTGGTAAATCCATATCTAAAGTATGAAGTTCCAGTGACAAGTATTGTAGGAGGAGGAGGACCAATTACAGCATAATAAATGTGAATATTTACCCCAAAATATCGGCCCACCATCAAACTCAAACAAACCAAAAGATCGCAGTGCATCAGCTACATTTAAAGTATTACCTTTTCTGGTTTTGCTAACCTATCTGCAACAAATTTTGATGCATCCCGAAGAAACTGGTCCGCATCTGGTATTGTCGGCAAATTGGTATAGACAACAAATGTCGGCATCTTTTCTAAGTTTGACAGGACGCATGTACGATGCCCAAGCAAAACGTCGCTTATATCATTGAGGAAAAAAATACAAAAAGAAAAAGAACAAAATATTATCATAGGTAAAAGTTTGTGGTCTGAATATGAGAGCGAGAAGAATTTACCACTCTCTTCTAAATCTTAAGATAATGTCATCCACTTACATATTTTGCTAGATATATTTGAGGAAATGTGAAGACTTTTTTTCGTTGCTTAAGCGATAATTGAATCTCGGAAAAGAAAAAAATGACAACTGTATGTTGACAATGTCTACTGGAGCATTTTCAATAGATGACGCGTTTGATTCGGAAGATGATGACAAGATACGCCTCTACGGGTCCACCAAAGAGACAGCTCCACTGAGGACAGGACCGAAGATCCGCCCTCCAGTCAGTAAACTGTATACAGTTGTGTATTGCGGAGAATTATCGAAACCCTGTTTTTACAAATGATGACATTTTGCCGGAAACATTTCATGGTCATATCACAAAGATACTATTTTTGCATTCCTGTCGTGATTGCAGACACACAATTTCTGATAGAATTTGACATTTAGACATATTTTATAGTAAATTATTGCCATTGTAGTCATTACAACAATACAGTGTCCTTGTCATTAATCAATAGGTCACATACGGATATACGTACATGTACCTTCGTAAGGTGTAACTGTAGGTGTATGGTTAGTATAGGCGATTGATAGTTATATAATATGGTTAACGTACTTCTGTAATTTTGTATATGAAAACCAATTGTTAGTTATGTGAAACCTTTTTAAACTCGTCCTTGTTTACAGATAATAATGTCACTGTCTTTTTCTTGCATTTAGATATATAAATGTATAGTTAAAAATCACCATCACATACACACAGATATAACAATAGGGTACAAGATGTTTTCTGTTGTGTCCTGTGCTGCAAAGTCATTACACATAAGCTCTGTAGAGCTATTACAATCACAATGTAGTAATAATGAAACTGGACTATAACTATTCAGTAGATGTATTGCATATTGATGTACGTATACATGTCCATATGTTTAAAAGATCAAGTTTAGGCAATAACCCTTTCATAATTGACATTTATTTACCTTAATCATGTTAAAATGCTGTTGGATAATATCAGTCATTTTCAAATTCATGCAATGATATTAATGATTGAAGTGAAGTCATACAGTATATAGAACACTGATATTTCTATAAACAACACATGTGTAAACTAAGAGATCATTAATTGATTTTCTTGATCTTCAAATTCAATCAATTTAACAGAAGAAGAAATGGAATACTATATAGTACCAAATTTATCAAACAATAAACCCATATCTGATGCCTTGGCCTTGTTTATCGGAAGACAAATATCTCAATAGAATGTGAACAGATTTTCATTTATCACAAATACAACCATTTAGAATATTATGTATGCAGGCAAATTGAAGACTACGTTTTCACCTTCATCAGACAAATGATCAGTGAAACGTAAATGTGCAGCTTGTTCAATTTACTTTCTCATTGTTATATAAGTCTATGAACCTTGTTTCTTGACTCCAGACTGATATAAAAAGTGAACAGAACATAGAAAAGTATTGATAAGCTTGAAGGTATACTGTATACAAGTTGCTGATAAAATCAGTTATTTCCAATCTATCAGTGATGTAATTGGCTATACATATTCATATATATATATATATATATATATACATTTTTTTTTTGCTACAGGATGATGAAGATGAACACTCTAAAAAATCAACACACTCAAAAGAATCAAGATCAAAAGATGCTGGGTATGTACACCTGTTTTCATCTACAACTGTAGTACTTTATGTAAATGTACTTCTATAGAGTATAAGAGTACATAAAAATAGTTGATATTTTTAAACCTTTGAATGAGCACACACAATAATATATGATACATTGAGTTTATAATAGGATATCAAACATATGAAGGGAGACACTCTGTACATCTCAATGTGATGAACTTATGATCTTGCATGATCTATCGCATCAAATTGTGGTTCAGAAATATGTACAGGTACTTGACCACTATGTCGTGCTGATATATCTGAAAGAGGATATTTCAGTTTAGGTAATGATAAAGAGACTGAAAAGGTAATGATAAAGAGCACTGAAAAGGTAATGATAAAGAGCACTGAAAAGGTAATGATAAAGAGTACTGAAAATATAATGATAAAGAGTAGTGAAAAGTTAATGATAAAGAGTACTGAAAAGGTAATGATAAAGAGTACTGAAAAGGTAATGATAAAGAGTAGTGAAAAGGTAACGATAAAGAGTACTGAAAAGGTTATTAGAAAGAGACTGAAAAGTAAATGATAAAGAGCACTGAAAAGGTAATGATAAAGAGACTGAAAAGTTAATGATAAAGAGTAGTGAAAAGGTAAGATAAAGAGTACTGAAAAGTAAATGATAAAGAGTAGTGAAAAGTTAATGATAAAGAGTACTGAAAAGGTAATGATAAAGAGTAGTGAAAAGGTAATGATACAGAGTACTGAAAAGTAAATGATAAAGAGTAGTGAAAAGTTAATGATAAAGAGTACTGAAAAGGTAATGATAAAGAGTAGTGAAAAGGTAATGATAAAGAGTAGTGAAAAGTTAATGATAAAGAGTAGTGAAAAGGTAATGATAAAGAGCACTGAAAAGGTAATGATAAAGAGTACTGAAAAGTTAATGATAAAGAGTACTGAAAAGTAAAAAAGGTAATGATAAAGAGTACTGAAAAGGTAATGATAAAGAGACTGCAAAGGTAATGATAAAGAGTACTGAAAAGGTAATGATAAAGAGTACTGAAAAAGTAATGATAAAGAGACTGCAAAGTTAATGATAAAGAGTAATGAAAAGGTAATTATAAAGAGTACTATCCTCTCCACATAGTGATAAAACGTCTTTTGTTTATTAGAGTTCAAATTATCATCCTTTATCCTCTGATTTGTATTTCTACATAGCATATTTGTACATGAACAGAGTTGTATATGAAATGATAGATATTTCTTAAGTGTGATTAAAAAAAAATGATAAAAGATCCGGCATTGTTATTTATATAGAAATGTGTGAACTACAGATTACACTGACATAAGTCTCCTAAGCCTTTTTTCCACATCTTAGTTTTGCATAAGCCTTAACAATACCACCAGATATCAACATTTAAGATATCATTGGTCTGAAGAATGGTTTGTATGTTGTCTTTATTCATGTTTGTTAAATACTGTAAGTCTCGAGAATTGACATAAAATTTCCTTGTGTTACAGGAATTCTAAGCTGGCTACCACCCGTTCAACACATTCCCTCTCCAGTACTTGGTCAGATGATACACGTGTGTCAACAAGATCATTCTCTGATGGCAGCAGGTAAATTTTTACTGTTATTATCCCATAACTACATCTGTAAGGGAGGTCGTTTGGCGCAGTGGTAAGGTACTCGCCTTTCATCTAGCCGACTGGGGTTTGATTCCCGGAACAGACATGAAAACGTAAGGGGTCACCTGCCCAACCACATGGGTTTTCCCTAGGTATTTTGGTTTCCTCCCATAATAAGGGCCAATGTGCGCTTACATCCGGGCTAACAAGAGTGATAAGTATAAGTTGAAATAACTTGTTTTGCAATTGTTGTAATATAGATAAATTTTCTATTTTAATACATCTGTTTCACAGCCAATATGCCACATGATAAAATTTGCAGCAATGCATTATTGATTTTTTTTTTTTACACACTACAGTGTGTAACACTTTCAAAGCCTCTGATTGGTTAACCTCTGAACTTTGAAATCTGACTACTTAACAAGCACTTTATTTTTGTTGTTGTCTGTCAATGAAGAAACATCAATATGATAACAATCATCGGCTTGTATAGAGACCCAGTAAACCCATACTTCATTGACACAAACACAAACACCAAAATTCTGACAAAACTGGTATTCATGCATTCAATGGCAGATAAATCAGATTAATGTACAGTAGTGTTACCATATACAAAGATTTTGTCTGCTTTTGTTCATGTCCTGATCTGTATGAAGTCTACAATTCCCTGTGATGATTCAGATTCTGTTTTAACGTGGAATTAAAAGACAAAGAAGCTGGAAATCCTTTGACTAATCATTTAGTGAGGAAATATCATACTTTGTGGAGAGGTTGCTGGCATGGCTAGGCCCAGTAATTAGCTAGTATATTGTCTCCAACAGAACGTAGAAATAAACCCTATCCAAAACACAAAACTATGAAATTTCATTTTGGACCACTTGTCTTTTATCAGTAACTGATAAAATGATCTGTAAACAACACACTGCATTACATCTGGGATGTACACATACTGATTGCAAATTAATGATTTGTTTTAAACAGTAGATTTCCAGACAAAAAATAAGTATATTATAATGCATTTTGACGCTTAACTCCCATCAACCACATAACAGTTCTCACATGTTGTCCTCCAGCCATGCCATCATCACATGTGTCAACAGTACAGTGTCATGACAGTGATGTTTACTCATCACTCCAGCTTCGTTTCCTGAAAATCTTTTTAAATATGTCTGCCTTGTGGTGTCTTGAATGAAAAAAATCTGCAAGGGAACTTTTGGTATCACCATCAACAATAATTGCACACTTACTATGTCCAGGAAACATCCGATAACTAAATATGGCAGGGATTAGTTAAGTATTTAGCTGTCCAAGCTTTGTCATTTGACTTCACTGTGTCATTTTCATTTGTAGAGTGATTAAACAAGTATTCTATTAAGAAAACCTGCAAACACTATGCTTTTCATACTATTGCATCATTTTAAAAGTTATTTTATGCACAAATATACCGTATATACTCACCTATAAGCCAGATTTTCTGGAGTAAATTTACGACCTCCGAGGAGGGGTCCGGCTTATAGGCGAGTCATTGACCATGAGCAAAAAATCACACCATAATTTTCCAAAGGTAAGTCATGCTTTAGGGTCGAGAATCGTGTAAAATCATGTATATAGAAAATATGCTAGTACAGTAAAGCTATTGACGTCTATAGCCTTAAGAGCTCAGGTACAGTATGAGTACTATCAGTTACGTTGTCCGTGTTCCCGACCTCCGTAAGAAGGTAGCGGACAAAATGACGAATTCCTCCAGTATTGATTCTATGCATACATAGGCCTAAACACTTTCTAATAATTCAAGAAAGTAAACAAACAAAATAGTATTTAATTGTAATTTTATTTTGAAGCATTTAATAATGATATAACAACAGAATACATAACAACCAAAGCACTGGAAATAGTTTGTAACAACTCTATGCATATTAAAGATCGTCCTTAGGAATTCACGAAAGTCAAGCTAATAAAACACAGTGCATTCAGTTGTCAGTCACAAGCTAGCAGTAAAGTTCATTTATTCCCGGATATCGGATGGCAGAAAGCCACTGAATTCCTCGTCGGAGTCATCAGAATCGAGGAGAAGACGCCACTGCATATTATTGGTATTAGAATAAACTTTAATCAGTCATCTAAGATGTGATATGGCTGTTCCTTCATTACAAAATTTAATTTATCCTGCAGTAATGTGGTTCACAGTATTTAGTTGCAGCGTTGGGAAAATTTGAACTTGTTACATTGTTGGTATTTAAAAGTTATAGAAAAAACAAGTTCCCAAACACGGGTCAGTTGTTCATTATGTTTATCTGACTCTGGTTAGGTAATTTTCAAATTAACCAAATTGAATTTGATAAATATGATAAACAATGGATATCGTTTGGGAACTTCTTTATATCCCTGGTATCCTACAACAAGTGAAATTGAAGTACCAGTACATGTATTGGGATCAAATTTTAAGCAGTATTTTTAAACACTCGTAGATGATTCTTTTATCAGAACAAAGGTGAAAAAGTTCTAAGTTTTGAGGGATAGGTTATGCATGCTTGTGTTGTTGGAGATAGTATTGTTATAAATATACCTCAGGGATATTGATTGTAACATGATTTGGTTATCTAACTTTCTTGTAACAATTTTACATGAATGATCTGTTGCTTTGTTACCCTGTGTAAGGTGATGATGATTTTATTTTTCAGATGGTGGCGACATCCTAAGATCAGAGATAATTATAAGGTAGTGGCTGGCTCATTTGCTCTCACTGTGATTGGACTTGGTAAGTAGGATCACAAGGACAGATACTCAAGAATTAACACACATTGAACACATTTGGAAAAACAGATCACATATGTATCATGTAGAGGTTGTCATGCCTCATTTACAGTCTTATAGGGGTCATCTTGTCACATGTGTAGATCACATATTAAGTAGAGGTCATATAGAGGTCACTGTTGTTGTCATGCAACACTAAGAAAATAACCATCAATTACAATTTAGACCTTGTTGTGTATACTTCATAAACTTTATTACATGATTCATGGACTAGGTGTGTGATTTTAGTAAAGAATACACATCGTCAGATTTTAGGGATGTCACAATCAATATATGAAGATGTTTGATAATAACTCAGTGCATTCAATTTTTGTGACATTGTGAAAGTTACTTACATTGGCAACAGGCAGATAGTAATGTTATGCTAATGTCTTTTCAGCACTGGTTGTTACAGGCATTGCAATAACCATATCTGAGCAGCGAGGTAAGACAAGGGAGACTACTCTGCTCATCTTAACTTACTTTGAATTTGTAATACATGTAGTGAGAGATTTCAGTTATCCATGGTTTTGAAAAAGATCGCATTATATAGTATTGACAAATGTGTTAATTATTCACATGTATTTAAAATAATTCTATTGTTATGATTAATTATATACATATCTATATTATTTCAGTATTTGTTTTAATCTTCACTTTTCACAAAATCTTCAGATATGAAGAGCTTGTTAGTAAAAATTATGTTTTGTTTCATATTGTTACAGTTGATATAAAGTACATTGAATATATGCATTGAAAAAGGATAGAAGTGTTTCCTTTAAGTACTCATAAGGCAATTGCATGATTAACAAGAATTTAATATTTTTGACTGTTCTCGTGTTGAATTCCCACAGGGTGGCATAGTCTAGTTTTCTTCATTGGTGGGTTCCTGTGTTTGATACCAGGAGGTAGGTCTATTGTTACACACACTTAATTGATAGAAAAAATCATTGTCATAGCTTTGTTTTGTCGTTTTCAGTTTTGACCTCAATCTCTTCACTGAATGATAAATTTTCCTAGTCGTACATTTATACTTGTGATCTACTCATTTCACTTCATCTTTCAGTAATTATGTGTATGTATTGGTGAGGTCGATATTTAAGATTCAACTTTCTATTAAGTTCAAATTTTGATGAGATGACAAATGAATATTTGATGGCTCTCTAAAGTTTGTGTGACACTATTTTTCAAATGTTATTAGAATATTCTATATTTAGGTAATTTAAATTTGTATTCTCGTGTGTGAATATTTCAGTGTACCATGTGGTATATATCTACCTTGCTGTAACACAGAGGGCTGGCTACAACCTATACAACTTACCAGTGTTTAAATGACCCTGTGTCAAACCGTCACACCAAAGGAGTCCCAATGTGTTCAACACACTTACAAATTGGGGAACAATCAAACCCACACTGATGTTGCCTTGCACAAGTTCCTCTACTGAACATGTTCTCACCTTGACAGAATTACACTGCCTGATTTTATGGAAATAGTGAAACACACTGACTCTTTGAGGCTGACTATCCACAGCCAATCTTCATATGTTGTTTAGAGAAATTTTATCATCAAGATTCAACAGATTCCGGTAAAAAAGCTTTCTGTTTGAGATGATTTTTCTGTAAAATTTCAGCTTTGTAAATATATTGGAAAAAGTGGTTGGTTCAAATGTTTTTGCAGATATTTAAGTAAACATATTTGCAATCAAAGTGAAACATAACTGTACATTAGGTATTTTTGGTGACTCTTTCATATTTGCTGTATTCCCAACTGGATAAAATAACAAAAATCAGTTGCATATAGTTCATTACTTACTGAAAAATGCGGCTTATTGATGTCTTATTGATAACATTGAGATATAGATATAAAAAAATGGTGCTGATATTTAAATTCAAACTAAAAGTTTCATTAGGGAAAATCCAAAAGGAAATGGACAGAACATTGACATTTTTCAATGAGACAGCACTGGGGGATTGGATGAAGCATGGAGACAGAAAATCTGTAACAAACCACCCAAAGGACAGTTAAATGTCTTGAAAGCTGGTAAAAATGAACTGTATACCATTGTTTAATTATGTCTCCTTGGTAATTTGTATAGAAAATTAGAAAAAAAATAGGTTATCAAATGTCAAAATACTCATTGTTTTTATTTATGGTTTGTAGATGTGTGATACTAATGTATGTTGTACGCCCTGTGATAATTCTACAATATTGTGTATTTTAGTATGAAAATATATGGATGTGTCATGATAGTGTGTTTGAAGGTTAGTGTGATAATTTTACTTTTTATTTTATTTATTACCACTATCTGAGTGAGTGAATTTAAACGAGATAAATGATAGTGCTATAACAGTTAATGCGCAACCAAATTATTTACAATATAGAATTAGTTACTGCTATGCAACATTATATGGATAAGATCAACTTTACTGCAGTCATGGGCTATTTTTTACCAAGTCCATGACCTTACCACCCAAGTATTGTCTCCTTGTATAGTAGGGGCTATTTTGTGGAAATATGGAGCTATGTATGCTATAAGATGTTGTATAGCCTACATGCCTGTATGTTATAAGATAGTATTAAACCTAACCACTTGTAAGCTTAGGAATGATATCTAGTCTACATACTGTTTACCTGTATGCTATGAGATGGTTTTACCTTAGGGATGGTATTTAACCTACATACCTGTAATCTTAGGGATGGTATCTAACCTACATACCTGTAATCTTAGGGATGGTTTTTAACCTACATACCTGTAATCTTAGGGATGGTTTTTAACCTACATACCTGTAATCTTAGGGATGGTATTTAACCTACATACCTGTAATCTTAGCGATGGTTTTTAACCTACATACCTGTAATCTTAGGGATGGTATTTAACCTACATACCTGTAATCTTAGGGATGGTTTTTAACCTACATACCTGTAATCTTAGGGATGGTTTTTAACCTACATACCTGTAATCTTAGGGATGGTATTTAACCTACATACCTGTAACCTTAGTGATGGTTTTTAACCTACATACCTGTAAGCATAGGGATGGTATTAAACATACATACCTGTAAGTGTAGGGATGGTTTTTAACCTACATACCTGTAATCTTAGCGATGGTATTTAAACTACATACCTGTAACCTTAGGGATGGTTTTTAACCTACATACCTGTAAGCATAGGGATGGTATTAAACATACATACCTGTAATCTTAGTGATGGTATTTAACCCACATACCTGTAAGCGTACCGATGGTATTTAACCTACGTACCTGTAATCTTAGCGATGGTATTTAAACTACATATCTGTAATCTTAGGGATGATATTTAAACTACATACCTGTAATCTTAGGGATGGTATTTAGCCTACATACCTGTATGCGTATTTGCTTTGACATGGAGGATAGCCTTATGTCTTTCTGCTGTATAAATATAAATAAGCCTGGTGACTTTTGATCTTCTGAATGTTATTAAATCAACATATATTTGTATGTTCTTTGAATAAAGTGGGTATGGATTGAGATTGGTGAAAAGGTCAAGCAATATATCTGTACATTTTATTTGAAGCAAAAATATCTGCAATATGACAATGATGTTTCTGTAATTCTATAACATTTGTGTTAGTTTTTGAAACCATACAAGGGGTAATATTTTTGTCCCAGTTTTAAAATGTATCTTATTTTTCATAAAATGACTGACTAGAAGGAAATGTTATGTATGTACTGACAAGAGTGTTTGTCACTAGGGGCAACACCACTAGTGAATTATTGGATTTGTTGTTGGTTTGTTTATAATATATATATATATATATATATATATATTGGTTAACATTATGTTGATACAGGAACATGTTTAGAATTGTTTTAGTTGTGTAAATATATTTGGTAATGAAGATGATAATGTTTTAAATGTACACACTGTAGCACTTTTCACGCTGAAAGTATTGTGCTAATTTGTGATTGCACCAAATTAAGTATGTTTACAGTGTGTTTGTTGTAATGTAAATTTTTCCACGATTTCAGAATACCCTGATACCCAGATAGCCTGAAGATAGATAGGTGAGAAAATAGAAGTTGGAATCATATAAATATGATCAATAAAGTGATAATGACAGTATGGACAAGTGAATTGTCAAACATTTGAGCCCGTCTGCCCCTTTATCAAGATACAAATATTACCTTAACTACATCACATACATAGAACACAAAATAGACCCAGTGGTGTAAATTAAGGTGTCTTAATAATCCGTTTGGCCGATGGATGCCGAATGACTTAATAAGGTACATAAGAACCACCTTAAGTTTTGGTATGAAAGATGGTGATTCAAATATCAAAAGTGTTTTATATAAATCTCGGTACCTTGTGCACTGTAGCAACTGAGCGTTTATGTGATCGCCAGGAAATCTTTTTTTTTTTCATGTCACACTCCAAGGAAAGGAGTTGACCAGTACATCTCGGCCCTACTCTAAAAAAAGGAATTGCTTGATTAAAAATAAGAAATGTTCTTGTAAAAATATAAGCAACAACATCAGATGGTTTTTTGTCCTTGATAAAGGCACCTGCAGCGTCCATCTGCCGAAGGAATTATCGAGACACCTAAATTTACACTACCGTTCTCAGTTTTAGTTTGTATCTGTTTTATGTTTTCTGTATGTGAATTTATTTATGTAATAATATTTGTGTCCAGATAAAGGGACAGATTGCCTCAAAAATTTGACAATTTGCTTGTCCGCACTGTCGCTATTACTTCATTGATCACATATCTATTCTATTAATTCGCATCCAACGAACATTTGTTTGTTAGGATCCAGTCCCAATATTGGACCATACTGTCAATATTACTTACTAGATTATGTAAATTGTGGTGAATTCTCTGTGCCCAGCAAATATAGAAAAAAGTTAAAAAGACTGGAAAATATGACAAGTTTTACAAGACTGGAAAGCACAACAAGTCAAGTTTTCCATTCATTTAATTTTTTTCTTCTATACATAGACTTAAAATGATATTGGAAAATGGTCGTCCTTGCTTGTTAATCTTTACTTTAAAACACCCAATGACATATTTTGCATGAAATCAATATTTAGAAGTCATAAATATATTATGTTTTCATCAATTAAAAGGTACAACAATTACATCTGAAACTTTATCAACAAGTCTTTGAATAATGAAAAAAAATCCATGAATGAAATTCTAGGTACCTCTCTTCCTTTCAGCCATTTCAAATATTTTTATAAACAAATAGAAAATTGATGTAGATATTGTATCAGCTTAGAATGTTATTGAAAAATTCACAATAGTGTCTTATATAAGATTTTTTTTATTTTAAGTTTTATGCTCTGCTATGATATGGCCTGGACATAGTGTTGCCCCTTGCAGACCATTTCTTAATAATTTGGTTTTCACTTATATACTACTTGTCAGATGAAGATAATGAAATAAAATTTGGTTTGTAGCTATTTAACAAGTGGATTCAGGTCAGGTTTTCAACATTTGTTTTCAGAGTTGTTGCCCTTGAACATAGAAAATTGCTGTATTCTCTCATTCTTCTAGACCTTGATGAGGATGTTAAATTAAAATTGAGGATGTAATTTTGCACCAAGTGAGATATGGTTGGCAGTCTTGACATATAACAAGTCTTCATTACATTTCCTAAAAAGCCAAGAGCACAAAAATTATTTACAATATATTATTCATTTGTTACTGGTGCAGGTATTCAGATTGCAATGACAAATACATTGTTTTTTTATTTTTTCAACTGGCAAATCATTCAGATCATGGTGACAATGCAGAGGTAATGACATTAGATTGATGAAGATCTGAACATTAAGTACTAGTTATTTTTTTGGTGCATACTATGCTTGATTCAGTGTTCTTTACACCAGACAAAAAACTTATGAATGGTGGAGTTCATTTTTCGTTATTTACAGCAGACTAGAAGCTGTTCAATACTAGAAGTTCACTTCATTCTGTACAGTGGACAAAAAATGGTAAATTGTGCTGGTTCACTTTGTGTTTAGAACAGCGGTCTAGAGGCTATTGAATAGTAGGAATACACTTTGTGTTCTGTAGGCCTGACCAGAGGCTTATGAATGGTAGGTTTCACTTTGTGTTCTGTAGGCCTGACCAGAGGCTTATGAATGGTAGGTTTCACTTTGTGTTCTGTAGAGCTGACTTGAGGCTTATAAATGGTAGGGTTCACTTTGTGTTCTGTTGAGCTGACTTGAGGCTTATGAATTGTAGGGTTCACTTTGTGTTCTGTAGAGCTGACAAGAGGCTTTTGAATGGTAGGGTTCACTTTGGCTCTGTAGAGCTGTCTAGAGGCTTATGAATGGTAGGTTTCACTTTGTGTTGTGTAGAGCTGACTTGAGGCTTATGAATGGTTGGGTTCACTTTGTGTTCTGTAGAGCTGACTAGAGGCTTATGAATGGTAGGTTTCACTTTGTGTTCTGTAGAGCTGACTAGAGGCTTATGAATGGTTGGGTTCACTTTGTGTTGTTTAGAGCTGACTAGAGGCTTATGAATGGTAGGTTTCACTTTGTGTTGTGTAGAGCTGACTAGAGGCTTATGAATGGTTGGGTTCACTTTGTGTTGTGTAGAGCTGACTAGAGGCTTATGAATGGTAGGTTTCACTTTGTGTTCTGTAGAGCTGACTAGAGGCTTATGAATGGTTGGGTTCACTTTGTGTTGTGTAGAGCTGACTAGAGGCTTATGAATGGTTGGGTTCACTTTGTGTTGTGTAGAGCTGACTAGAGGCTTATGAATGGTAGGTTTCACTTTGTGTTCTGTAGAGCTGACTAGAGGCTTATGAATGGTTGGGTTCACTTTGTGTTGTGTAGAGCTAACTAGAGGCTTATGAATGGTAGGTTTCACTTTGTGTTCTGTAGAGCTGACTAGAGGCTTATGAATGGTAGGGTTCACTTTGTGTTGTGTAGAGTTGACTGGAGGCTGTTGAATAGTATACCTTCACCTGTTTACCTAGTTCTGTGCAGTGGACAAAAAGCTGGTAAATGGGATTAATTCACTTTGTGATCTGAAAGATAATTGCTTTGTTTTTAATTTCCTTTGTGTGCAATGTTTCTTGTTGAAGTCAGTTGAGATGGTATTGTGTTAAATTTGTAACAGTTTGCTGTTAGAAAAGTTTAACTGGTTATATCACAATCAGTTTTTTTAATGTTTACCTTGTTGATTGTATTTTTAAAGGAGATTCTTTTCTGAATATTTGTCTTAAAGTTAACCAGATGTTTTGTGTAACATTCCTTTGTCCTTTAAACGGATCTGACAGCCAAGACTAACATAACACAATATTGTCCATTGTTTAGGTCATCAAACCTAGTGCCACAAATGATTGAGTTTTTTTCTTTAATTTTATTATTTATAATTACAAATTGAAAGTAAAAAAGGAAATCATAAAGAATGGCGTGATATTGTTAGAGGCCTGGGCCAATCACGCAGAATAATGCTATATAATTTCTCTTCATCTACTTATAATATTGTGATACATGTTCCTGTGTGTATGTGTGTGTGTGTATGGTTTTTTTGTTCTTTTTTGTTTGTTTGTTTTTTTTTAAATATATCTATATATTTATTTTCGTTTTACCCCACCAAAATATATGACATTCCTTCATGCACAACTAATACAATTTGTCAACATCTGTTTTTTTTTTTTTTTTTTTTTCTAGAATATGCAAATGAATATCTCTATATTTTGTTATTTGAATAGAATTGTACTTGGTCGTGTGATGCAATTTTTTGCATTGTTTCCAAACACCCAAAAAAATATTCACTTGATTTTAATTTTATTTGATGCATCAAAACTAAGCCCTAGTACTAGTGGAAGTATCACTAGAAACGGGATGAGCTGACAAGATATCAACTTGGTCAGTAACACGTATTAGAGGTAGGAAATCTGGATCTCCTTAATGTTTTAATAATTATTCAGCCTTGATGTATAACAGAGTTGTGTTCTAATATACGATAGGTTGTAACCTACTAACTGGGTCTAATCCTTGCTTTTGTTTTGATATAATGTCATGTAGCTTATCCACTCTCAACAATGTACTATGCGGGTATATTCTTCAATAATTTCTTTTGTAAATTCTTCATTCAGAATTGTATGAATGATCTGTTACATTGTTGATTTTTTAGATTATTTTTATGTTTGTTGTATCTTCTATTTCTGTGTTACTTGTTGACCTGTTTTCTCCTATTATTCATATTATTTATTTTTAGATCTGTTAATTGTCATAGTTTTAACATTTTAAATCCGTGTTATTATAAACTAACAATACTGTATTACATCAATAAATTCACATGTAGACAATGACAGAATCTTTGTGATTTCTACTGTTGTTAGAATGTCCGGTGGTTTCAATTGTTGGAACATGATTATCATTTCAGGAACATGGAATTATTTACTTGAAATGACCAACATTTAAAAATCAGTTGTCTTGAATGAAGTAGAAGGCGCTTACTCTTCTGGAACACCTGGGTTTATTCTCCTTCTTCACATTTTGCCCCAGTTATATTCAATTTTGAGTTTGAATTAAGATGTAGTTGCTATATTGATATTTTCTTGTTTTAGTTGCTACAGAATTACTCTATTATTTAAAAAGTTACTAATGATAAATAATTCTGGCAGAATTTTACACTATTATTCAGTAACAAACCTGTGTTTTCACAGACGTCCTTCATTTACAACAGTGTGTATCTGTGGTTCCACAGACATATTCCCTTTTACTGCAGTATGTATCTGTAGTTCCGTAGACATATTCCCTTTTACAACAGTAGGTATCTGTAGTTCAGCAGACATATTCCCTTTTACAGCAGTTTGTATCTGTGGTTCCGTAGATATATTCGCTTTTACAGCAGTATGTATTTGTGGTTCCGTAGACATATTCCCTTTTACAGCAGTATGTATCTTTGAGTCCGTAGATATATTCCCTTTTACAGCAGTATGTAGCTGTGGTTCCGTAGACATAGTCCCTTTTACAGCATTATGTTTCTGTGGTTCCGTAGATATATTCCCTTTTACAGCAGTTTGTATCTGTGGTTCCGTAGATATATTCCCTTTTACAGCAGTATGTATTTGTGGTTCCGTAGACATATTCCCTTTTACAGCAGTATGTATCTGTGGTTCGGTAGATATATTCCCTTTTACAGCATTATGTTTCTGTGGTTCCGTAGATATATTCCCTTTTACAGCAGTTTGTATCTGTGGTTCCGTAGATATATTCCCTTTTACAGCAGTATGTAGCTGTGGTTCCGTAGACATATTCCCTTTTACAGCAGTATGTATCTGTGGTTCGGTAGATATATTCCCTTTTACAGCAGTATGTTTCTGTGGTTCCGTAGATATATTCCCTTTTACAGCACAGCAATATGTTTCTGTGGTTCCGTAGATATATTCCCTTTTACAGCAGTTTGTATCTGTGGTTCCGTAGATATATTCCCTTTTACAGCAGTATGTATTTGTGGTTCCGTAGATATATTCCCTTTTACAGCAGTATTCCCTTTTACAGCAGTATGTAGCTGTGGTTCCGTAGACATATTCCCTTTTACAGCATTATGTTTCTGTGGTTCCGTAGATATATTCCCTTTTACAGCAGTTTGTATCTGTGGTTCCGTAGATATATTCCCTTTTACAGCAGTATGTATTTGTGGTTCCGTAGACATATTCCCTTTTACAGCAGTATGTATCTGTGGTTCGGTAGATATATTCCCTTTTACAGCAGTATGCAGCTGTGGTTCCGTAGACATATTCCCTTTTACAGCATTATGTTTCTGTGGTTCTGTAGATATATTCCCTTTTACATCAGTATGTATCTGTGGTTCCGTAGATATATTCCCTTTTACAGCAGTATGTAGCTGTGGTTCCGTAGACATATTCCCTTTTACAGCATTATGTTTCTGTGGTTCTGTAGATATATTATCCCTTTTACATCAGTATGTATCTGTGGTTCCGTAGATATATTCCCTTTTACAGCAGTATGTAACTGTGGTTCCTAAAACATATTCCCTTTTACATCAGTATGTATCTGTGGTTCCGTAGATATATTCCCTTTTACAGCAGTATGTAGCTGTGGTTCCGTAGACATATTCCCTTTTACAGCATTATGTTTCTGTGGTTCTGTAGATATATTCCCTTTTACATCAGTATGTATCTGTGGTTCCGTAGATATATTCCCTTTTACAGCAGTATGTAGCTGTGGTTCCTAAAACATATTCCCTTTTACAGAAGTAGGTATCTGTGGTTCCGTAGACATATTCACTTTTACAGCAGTATGTATCTGTAAGTCCGTAGATATATTCCCTTATACAGCAGTATGTATCTGTGGTTCTGTGGATATATTCCCTTTTACAGCAGTATGTATCTGTGGTTCCGTAGACATATTCCCTTTTACAGCAGTATGTATCTGTGTCCGTAGACATATTCACTTTTACAGTAGTATGTATCTGTGGTTCCGTAGACATATTCCTTTTTACAGCAGTATGTATCTGTGTCCGTAGACATATTCACTTTTACAGCAGTATATATCTGTAAGTCCGTAGATATATTCCCTTTTACAACAGTATGTATCTGTGTCCGTAGACATATTCACTTTTACAGTAGTATGTATCTGTGAGTCCGTAGATATATTCCCTTTTACAGCGGTATGCATCTGTGGTTCCTAAAACATATTCCCTTTTACAGCAGTATGTATTTTACATCAGTATGTATCTGTGGTTCCGTAGACATATTCCCTTTTACAGCATTATGTATCTGTGGTTCTGTAGATATATTCCCTTTTACAGCAGTATGTATCTGTGGTTCTGTAGATATATTCCCTTTTACATCAGTATGTATATATTCCCCCTTTTACAGCAGTATGTAGCTGTGGTTCCTAAAACATATTCCCTTTTACAGAAGTAGCAGTATGTATCTGTGGTATATTCCCTTTTACAGCAGACATATTCACTTATACAGCAGTATGTATCTGTGGTTCTGTGGATATATTCCCTTATACAGCAGTATGTATCTGTGGTTCTGTGGATATATTCCCTTTTACAGCAGTAGGTATCTGTGGTTCCGTAGATATATTCCCTTTTACAGCAGTATGTATCTGTGGTTCCGTAGACATATTCCCTTTTACAGCAGTATGTATCTGTGTCCGTAGACATATTCACTTTTACAGTAGTATGTATCTGTGGTTCCTAAAACATATTCCCTTTTACAGCAGTATGTATCTGTGGTTCCACAGACACATTCCCTTTTACAGCAGTATGTATCTGTGGTTCCACAGACACATTCCCTTTTATAGCAGTATGTGTCTGACACATTCCCTTTTACAGCAGTATGTAGCTGTGGTTCCACAGACACATTCCCTTTTACAGCGGTATGCATCTGTGGTTCCTAAAACATATTCCCTTTTACAGCAGTATGTATCTGTGGTTCCACAGACACATTCCCTTTTACAGCAGTATGTATCTGTGGTTCCACAGACACATTCCCTTTTATAGCAGTATGTGTCTGACACATTCCCTTTTACAGCAGTATGTAGCTGTGGTTCCACAGACACATTCCCTTTTACAGCAGTATGTAGCTGTGGTTCAACAGACACATTCCCTTTTACAGCAGTATGTAGCTGTGGTTCCACAGACACATTCCCTTTTACAGCAGTACGTGTCTCTGATTGAATGGTAATAATCCCTTATTGATACTGTATTCAAAGATGATTATGCAGACGTTGCAATATGAAGCTAGCAGTGTTTGATGCACGTTGTTTTGCCTGTTGGTTCCGTTGCTGTACAGCCTTGTTTTTATTCGAGAACGTGACATAACTTACCTGGATTGACCAAAATTTCCATGGTGGGTGTCGTTGATGAAGCAGAAGACGCTTGCCTTTCCGGAAGAACTGGTCTTATTCTCCTCCTATTTTTTCATGGGTCTTCGTGTAAATCTTCCCTTTGTTTATAGTTTGTTTGCCTTAGTGTTATTGAATTCGAGTTTGGACTATGATTACATTGGTATCGTCTTGTTGTTTTTCTACAGTATACTTATTTAATTTTACAACACATTCCCACTAAATATGGTACATACCTGTAATTTCTCAGACTCTACTTATGTGTATTTGTATAATTAATTAAATATTATTGATGAAATATACCGCCACATTGATTACAAGTCGGTATAACAGTATATATTTTGAAGTCATGCTATATTATTCCTGTTTGTCGTTGATATTTCATACTCTAGTTTGCCAATGTTATAATAAACGAGGCTGCGACACTGATATAGATCTAACATAGCTGTATTGTGACGCTAAACTGAATGAAAAGACCATCCTCACAAAAGATGACAAAATGTTGATTAATGAAATTATCTTAGATAGTTATCTTTTATAAGATAAAAAAAGTTCTGATAGAAAACGTATTGCCGTATAAACAGCGTATTGTCAACAAAATAAAAACCCGACACAAATGCATTTGTCTTCCCGACAGATATTTAACAAATTGTTTCCCTGCTGTGTTTCTACGCCATGGTAAACTTGAGAATTTCTTTAGGACAATTCTGATGAAAATTATCATTGAAATTTGACATTTCAGACGAAATATAAAAGTATTGGATAGGAATATAACAACATTATATTAAGTGATAGTCTAGTCGTTGTCAAGATTAAATATTACTTCTTCATAAAAGTTTTCTAGGTCGAAGGCTTTAGATGAATTGCAAGCATTTCCTGGTAAGATAACATATCAGTTTGAAAATTTATAGCACAGATACACAGAAGTTTACACACGGATAACTACAGGAAATAACTTTCAGGAATTTTGGTCGATAAATTCTTATTTACATCAATCTATTAAAATTGCATCAGATCTAGGATACAATTAAAACTATGGAGTTATATTTACATACAGTTATAACTGTAGGGTTATATCAACATACAGTTATAACTGTAGGGTTTTATCAACATACAGTAACAACTGTGGGGTTATATCAACATACAGTTATAACTGTAGGGTTTTATCAACATACAGTTATAACTGTAGGGTTTTATTAACATACAGTAATTACTGTGGGGTCATATTAACATACAGTAGCAGCTATAGGGTTTAATTAACATATATATCTGTCTGAATTTTTGTTTCCAGACAATGACTTGAGAAAAGATGGATGAAAATAAATCATCATTTACTGTTAGGTTATGAGGTAATGCAGATTAGGATTGAGTTTGGAATCGAAAGGTCAACTACGAAGATCACTGTTGCTAAAAATGATTTTTTTTCTCTAAATTTTGGTTTTCAGCTGATAATTTCAGAAAGAATAGATGATTAGGTGAAACTTCATAGAAAGTTTGCTTATGAAGAAATAGAGATTGGGGCGAGTATGGGGTCAAATGGTCAACTACGAATGTCACTGCTACTTAAATAGTCTTTTATCGCCAACTTGTGATAGGATTCACCGATTGTATTGAAACTTGATGCAATCTAAGACTCTTTAAAAAAAATATATAGGGTGGGATTGATTTAGGGGTTAAAAGGTCATCTGTAAAGGCTTTGATGGTCACTTATGACATTAGACATTTAATCACCATTTTAAGGAGCCCAGCATCAAAGATGCGCGAAGCAAAGTTTGACAGAATAACACCAGTCATCAAGCTTACCATTGTTCAAGTTCAGTGTGTCAAAAGGTCAAGGTCATTTTTTACATCTTTTCATGTGTATACTGACAATGTAACTAGAATGGTTCAATTTACCATGAAAGGTCAGAAACAAAGGCCGGTCCTTTCCGACATGTCATTGTTTTTAATTGTTTTCCAGATAATCACT